TTCAATTTGGGTCGATCCGCAGGTCATCCGACAAAAACTGGATAATAGGATCGACCGATCCATAGCTGGATCGGTCGATCTGGTGCTATGTTCTGCACTTGCTTCTTTTGCTCGCCAGACGGACCTATCTTCACTAAACCTTTCATAACGTTTGATCGCACCGTTAGAATGATCTCAAATTTCTTCCAAATGATAGCTAACTTGATTCCCTAGCATGTAGTCAATTTTCAGCTCGATCCATCGGTGTGAAAGTCATCAACAAGTACCCAACTTTTAACCATTTTCTGCATCTTTGCTTCTATTCCTTGTTCCTTTGGTTTTTGGCCTCCAAAGTGCCTACAAATGACTCAAGGACTATGCAAATGCAATGAAATGTAATCTAAAACTCTATTGGAAAAATTGTGTTTTGGAGACACGGTGGAGCAGAGCTTGGTGGAAAAGCAGGCGGAGGAGAAGAGAAGGAGAGAACCACAGAGCTCTTCGAAGATATCGACGACTTTTAAACTAAAGTTGTTTTATTGTTTTTTGTTTTATTTTTGATGTACTTGATTTTACTAATAGAATTAATCAAACCAAAAAATATTTATAAAAACTAAATATGAAGGTTAAAACCGGATTATCATTAAAATAAGTACTAATGAGACAAAATTGAGTTGAAAAAATACTAATGGGACATTTGCTATTTGATTTCGACCCAATTAGCCAAATTTCTCTTTTTTTTTTTGTTTTCACAAAAATACCGTTTTACGATTTCAATGTGATTTTTCAAATGAACTTAATAAGCACTAAATACAAGCATTTTATATGTTTAAAAAATGCTAATCCATGTTAAATTGACATTTTTTTGTGAAATATGTTGTGACACTTTTTGTGTAACAGAGAAACTACATTTTTGGAAAAATCAACTCCAAGCATGCAAGAGATTAGTTTATTGTATTAGGCTGCTACATTTATTTCTCAGGCAAGAATTGACACAAGTTCCACTCATCATTTATATATTAATTGAGAAGTAATTTTTTAAAACTAGCTTAGATGTCATTGCCACAATCAATCTAACCAAATAAAATATGACATAGTCAAAATTAATTATGACATGGCAAATTATGACATAGCAAATGAAAGTCTTAATATTATTACATTTATTATTAAGTCACTACACAAATATGGCAATTGAGATTATACTAATACGTTTGTGTGGCCTACAGTCCATTTAAAATTTTAACCTTTTTTTTTGGCATCTAAAATGATATTATTGCAAAAGAAAAGATATTACAACGAATATCAAAGCCGGAACAGGGCACACCCAATCGAAGCTAATCCAAAGCGGAATCAAAAGTCTAAAACCGAGAGTCCAAAAAAGGAAACAAGGTCCAAACCTTAACCCGAAGGCAAAGCTAATACAAGGGAACCAAAGCAAAGAAATACAACCAATCAACACTGGAGATACACATATACAAACACAAGCTCACCAAAACAGTAACAGAAGGGGAAGATGCAAGGGCCAAAGCAAGGTAACCTCCATATCCACGACGGACAGAGGCTACAGCTACGCATAAATCAGAAGAGCCGGTGCAAACCATGAAGACAATGCCACCAAACAAGAAAAAGAACAAACCATCCACTCGAGAAATCTCCAAATGATATTCAACAAACCACTCTAAATTAATGGAGTTGGCTAGCTGTTGATGTACATCGCCGTTGAAGAATTATTCTGAAAAAAGTGAAAAGGAAGTATTTTTGTTGGGCGAGGGATATGAGTCTCGAGAACAAAAATGTAAGTCATCCAATAAACACCCCAGACCAGGCCAAAAACACCAATATAACCGATAAGAGAGCCAAACAACCAAATAGAACTCCAGCAAAACGGTAAGCATACCAGCTAAACCTTCTCCCCGAACTAAGACCAGTATAGAAATATCCAGCAAAAAAGACTACGTCGAAACCTCCAATAGCAACAAGAGAAAAAGAACCCAAACCCTCTTGTACACAAGGGAAAAACCCCTAAACCATGCTCATCCTCTCCAAAACAACCAAACCGAAAAGGCTGCTAAATGGAAGCACACAAGTCACCCAAACCGAATGGTGAATCCAAATTGGTGGCACAAAATAGACAAAGAAAGCCTAAATCACTGGAAATCAGAACCAAAATCTAAGTGAGAAAATGCGAAGACCTAATCTGGCAAACCAAAGCCAAATTCCGAGACCACCCATTACCCTAAGTTTTGCCATCTCACAGACCTTTGAATTCGATATCTCAGCCGAACGAGATCCTGAGAAACCCTAGATCTGACGCCGAGATACAAATCCCTCGAGCACGAAACACGAAGCCGAACCCAGACACAACACCGTCTCGACAGCAATCCTTCGTCGTACAACACACCTAAGACCCTAACCATCTCAACCAGCAAAGAAGAACTTACCCATCTCCACCACCATCAACAAGGATCCACACCACGAAAGAGATAGACTAAAGAAAAAACTAAAAACCGGTGACCCCTCACGGCACAAGGCAACGACCGCCGCCGGAAGAGGCAACCCTAGATCTACAATCGCCTTTTCCTCTTTTGCTCTCTTTGGTGTTTTTTTTTCCTTAAGTTCTATTTAAAATTCAACCTACAAACCCAAATAAACCAATTGCATTAATAATTCTCCTATCAGAAAAAAAAAAAAAATCTTACACAAGACAATTTGAAAATAAACAAAATCATTTAAGATAAATTGTATGTACAATTTGTATATCT